CTTCTCCGGGGGAGATCTGCCAGGGGGAAAGCGTGGCGGTGGCTCTGACATCCCAGGACTGGGGTGAATGGGGTTGGGGTTCAACCCCTACCGGGCACAAGCACCCACCTGCACTGGGCAGGGGCTGAAAATCCCCCCCTGCCACCAGGCAGTGCTGGTCGGTGAAAGCTGGAGGGCAGGCACAGGCGGGGGCACAGGTGATGGGGTGCAGGTGGCAGTGTCCCCCGTTGCTGCAGTAGCCCTCGGGGCAGGAGTGGGAGCCACAGGATGAGCCACAGCCTGGCCCCTCGCCTGCGGGATGGGGAGCCCGGGTCAACTGGAGGCACGAGCTTGGCTGCAGGGACCGAGCCCCAGGATACATCCATCCTCAGCTGCTCTGCAATGCCTTTGTTCCAAGTTTGTTTTTTTTTTTTTTTTTTTTTTTTTAATGCGTTAGGACTTTTAGTATAAATTCCAATCTTCAAGGAAAAGCCCTGCACCCCCTCTTCCCAGCTGGAGTCTTTTGCCCTTGTGAAATCCCAGCCTGCTGCATTAGAACAGGAGCAGAAACCATCACCCTAACCCCACCACAGCCATCTGAAAATGGGATTTGATTTTAGCCCTCTCCCAAACTTCACACGCACATTTGAACTTTGATGGGATGAGATTTTTTTTTTTTCCTCAGAGAGAAAAATTGCTCAGGATAAGTTTCCCTTCCCGGTGGATTAGTGAGATCTGCAGCCTGGGAACACAAGGGGCAGCTGGACTCTGGTCCCTTCTGTTAAGGACAGCAAGGGCTTGGGTACAGAGCTCAACCAGCTCCCCCTCCTCTCCTCTACGGCCAGTTTGGGTCCCATGGGAGCCCTCTTCTACCGAGGCCCATGGGGTGATGGGGACGAGGACCATACCCACCAGGTGCCTGTACTCACCCTCCTCGCCAAATGGGCAGGAGCAGGCGTAGCTGCCCACTGTGTTGGTGCAGGTGGCATTCCCAGGGCACGCCATCCCTTGCATGCACTCGTCGATATCTGCTGAGGCAAAGCAGCATGGCACCGGGAGAAATACCTCGGCCGGGGTCCCACAGGTGCCCCGGGTTCCTGGTGGCCATGGCAAGCCCTCCTCACCTGAGCAGTGCCGCCCATCGCCGGTCAGGCCAGCCGGGCCGGGGCCACAGCCGGTGTGCGAGTCGCAGC